CCCCCCTCGCCCCGTCACTCGCGCTCGCTGCCCCCCTCGCACGTCGCTCGCGCTCGCTGCCCCCCTCGCCGCCCGCACCGCGCTCCTCGCCGCTCGCGCTCGCTGCCGCGCTCGCCGCCCGCGGCCGCGCTCCCCGCCGCACCTAGGTTTTTTCCCACCACGGTGTATCTCGCGCGTCGCTCCACCTCCCGCTCATCGATCGATTTTCTTAAATGCCTCCCGAGTCCGGCCTACCGTCTCTCATAGACTTCTATAGACGGACCCTTTTACGAGGGGTAACTGATAATAGCGGTAAGGGGATCACTCGTCTGACTTCGACTCTTTCCGGTGAGATTCGGTAATATTCGGTTCACATTTCCAATACGTGTGCACACGTATATACGGCGCGTTGCTTGTGTGCGAGCGAGCGCGCGCGCGTGGCCGAACGAATCATCCCCTCCAACTTGGAGTGGGGATGATCCTGGATGGGGATTGGAAATGTGAACCGAATATTACCGAATCTCACCGGAAAGAGTCGATGTCAGATGAGTGCCTCCGCGCCCCGAATATCAGAACCCCTCTTGCCCAGAGTCGTAGCTAACATTCCGTCTATAGAAGTCTATGCCGTCTCTTGCATCCTCATTCGCTCAAACGTATAAATTTATATGTCGATAACTATTGTTACTTTGTACCTCGGTACATGATATTTCTCCTTAGTTTAACCCAATCTACCGCTATTTCCAAAGTTGCTACTTTTGCATCAGACACCCTGTATACGTGTGCACACGTATTGGAAATGTGAACTGAATATTACCGAATCTCACCAGAAAGAGTCGATGTCAGATGAGTGCCTCCCGCGCCCCGAATATCAGAACCCCTCTTGTCCAGAGTTGTAGCTAATGCTCCGTCTATAGATGTCTATGGATAGCGGAGAGTGAGATTGGAGAGAGAGATAAGAGAAAGGCTGCAGAAAAATTCCCGAAAGGGAGGCTTTGTTGCAGGTAAGCGAGGCTAAGTTCGCATCCATCGAATCCAGGTGGATGTAAGAGGAGGAGACAGGTAAACAGGAGGCACTGAGGTAACGTAACCTAAAAGAGCACGAGGCAGGACGGAGAGACACGTGGAGAGCAGCGCAACGACAACGCGCAGCGCAGAGGGAAGTGACGCAGACAGCAGCGCTCTCAGGAGCGTAGCAAGGGAAGGTGGAGACAGGGCACGGAGGGCAAGTACCGGAGGGGATGGAAGAGGAGATACACACGACAGAGGTATTGACAGGGAAAGGAAAAGAAGGCAACGAGGGGGGAGAGAGACAGGGAGTGAAGGGACCGAGGGATAACAAGGAGGAGAAGGATAGTGCGAGACAGACGACGTCGGCAAATACAACGCCGAAGGCCAGAGGGAGACCGACGAAGGCAGTGGCCCAGATAAAAGAGAGAGAGAGAGCAATAAGCGAAGGAAGACTGCGGGAGTACCTGGAGAAGAAGAGAAAGAGACAAGAGGTGGAGTGCAGCGAGGAGGTAAAGGAGGAGGAGAGGAAGCACATGCAGAAGAGAAGTCAGAAGACCAGAAGGACACCAACAAAAGAGGAGTTGAAAGAAGAAGATAAAGAGAAGGACAGGACGGAAGAAGGAGAGGAAAAAGGCATAGACACAGGAGACGAGGAAAAGAAAGAAGAGGATAGGATGGAGGAGAAGAGCGGCAGGGAACTACTACTGAGGATTTGCGAGGAATTAAGAGAGATGAAGACGGAGGCGGCAAAAAATAGAGTAGAGGAGAAGAAAGAAAGAGAAGAGGAAATGGAGACGTTGAAAAAAGAGATAAAACGAATAGAAGACAAAAGAGAACAAGAAGTGAAGGAGATAAAAGAAAAGATGGAGACAGTCAAGACGGTGTTCAAGGAGTCAGTACAAATGCTGGAGGAGAAAATAAAAAACCTGGAAAGAGAGGTAGGGGACAGAAGAGTGGGGGAGGCAGTAGGAGAAAGGAAAAAGGAGGAGGTGACGAGCTGGATGAGAACATTGGAAAAGAAGATAGAAGAAAGAAGAGAGGTGAACAAAGTGGTGGAAGAGAAAAGGTTAAGTGACATGGAGGACAAATTAGAGGCGAGAGAGAGGCTAGACAGGAGAAATAACATTATAATAAAGGGATTAGAATTAGAAAGGGGAGGAGAAGCCAGAGGTAAGGTGAAAGAGTTTCTCAGAATGCAGTTCGGAGTAAAGGAGGAAGCGATAGAAGGGGTAAAGGTGGTAGGAAGGGAAACGAGAATGATATGGGTGAGAATAAGGAGCAGAGAGGAGAAGGAAGAAATAATGAGTAATAAGAATAGGCTAGGAAAGGAGATTTATATAGAGAACGATCTGACATGGAAGGAGAGGGTGCTGCAGAGGAAAATAGGAGGAATAGCAAGGGGGGAAAGAGCAAGAGGGAAAAGAGTGAAAGTGGTATACAGGGGAATGATAGTAGACGGGAAGAGATACGAATGGAGTGAGGAGTCAGGGGAGATGAAGGAAAGAATGGGTTTTTAGAAGCGAGAGAGATAAGGATGAGTGAGTGTAAAGCCAATGAGGTGGTGGATGGCATGTATGTGTGCGAGAAAGATGACAAAGGTAAAGGAGAGGGGAGAAGGGGCAGAGGGATGGGGGAGGAGGGAGAGGGGAGGGAGAGTTTGGAGGAAGAGGGAGAGAGGAACATAAAGATAGGGTTCTGGAATGTAGCGGGGATAAGAAGAAAGGACGAGAATTTTTGGGAGGAGGTAGAGAAGTGGGACTTGATAGGTTTGACGGAGACGTGGGTGGAAGAGAAGGACTGGGATAAGATAAAGAGGAGGTTACCAGTTGGTTTCAGGTGGAGGCAACAAGCGGCAAAAAGATGTCAGAGGAAAGGAAGAGCGAAGGGAGGGATTATAACAGGGGTTAGAAAGGAGATAGAAAAAGTGAAGGGAGGAGAGGGAGGGACAGAAGTAGTAGGAGAGAAGGAAGGGCTGATGAGTAGGACGGTGAGGATAGACGGAGATATTTGGAAGGTGGTAACGGTGTACATAAATGGGGACATGGAAGAGAAATGCAGAGAAATTAGAGAAATAATAGGAAACGAGAAGGAAGACATAAGGGTAGTGGTAGGAGGGGATTTCAATGCAAGGACAGGGACAAAGGGGGCAATGGTAAGGGGAAGCGAGGAAGAGGAGGGGGTGAGAAAGTCGAGGGACGACAAAATAGACAAAAACGGAAGGAAACTGATAGAGGTGGTGGAGGAGGAAGGCTGGGGGATATTGAATGGAGAGACGGAGGGGGATGAGGACGGAGAGTACACATTCGTAGGGAGCAGGGGGGAGTCAGTAATAGACTACGCAATAGTGAACTGTAGAATGAGGGAAAAGGTGAAGAAGATGAGAATAGGGATGAGAACAGACTCAGATCACTTACCGATAATAGTAGAAGTAGAAGCAGAGGGAGTTGCTAGGGAAAGGAGGAAAGGCATAGAGAGGGAAGTTATGGACTGGTCGAGGGAAGGCGCGGAGGAGTATAGAAAAAATATAGAGGAGGAGAAGATAGAGGAAGAAGGAAGCACGGAGGAGGTATTCCAAA